CCGCTCGGGCCTTCCGCCAAGAGTCCAGGATCAGCTGTGGTTCGGCAGGACCCGCTTATTCTCCAGGAGGATGTTCATGAAGGAAATCGAACCACTTTGGCTTCTGAGCAGCTTGGAAGCACGTGGTCAGATTATCATAACTTATAAGCGGGCGCCATGGAAAAGTCAAGGCCTCGTCCTAACAGGCTTTGAAGTTTTATTTAAAATGGAGGAATGTTGAACTTCTGTCTTTTACCTACTCTGACCTAGCTGATAACATTCCTCTTTTCCTCTTTTCTTTCCTTCCTTCCTTCCTTCCTTCCTTCCTTCCTTCCTTCCTTCCACAAGTGTTGAGTACTTAACTGATACATTATGCTAGGAACTTAATCACCCACGATGATGATAGAGCATGATAAATAGCACGGTACATAATGATACTAACCACCACCTCCTGAGTGCCTACTATGCGTCAGGCACTCACGTGCATCATCTCATTTATCGCCCCCAGTGCGGGTGTCTGAGAGAATGGAACGTGTGGATGGGAGGCCATGCAGTAACCCAGGAGAGGAATACAGAGCCAGGAGCCAGGCCCTGCACTTAGTAGGTGCTCAACAAGTATTTGCCAAATGAGAGCCTGAACGGAGCCAGGTGCCGTGAGTGTGGTGAGGAAAGGCTCGGGGACCTTGCTTGCCTGAGGAAAATGGATCTCTGTTCTCTTTTCCTCTGCCGTCTTTGCAGTTGCAAAGTGTGACAGACGTTCTTGCTCCTGACTCACGCCATTTCCCATTGCCCAGAACCTCGAGCTCACCGGGCTTTGCGATGCCGGTAATGGGATCCATTCATCCTATTCATTCGGCAAACATTTACTGAGCACCAGTGTGTGCGGGACTGTGCTTGTTCCCGGGGACGGAGTGGCAAGTAAACCATCCAGTGTGTCTGCCCAGCAGATAAACCCAGCAGGCGGTGTAGTGGCAGGCGGTGTAACGGCAGGTGGCTAGTCCAGGAGGAAAACAAAAACCCGCTTGGGGGTAGGGCGTGCTCCCTGACCTTTGGGGTCAAGTAGGCTCCTGATGGGGGAGGGAGGGAGCCCCAAGACTCTTGTGCGGAACAGAGTGTGAGAGGGCAGGTTTGGGGCCCAGTGGGAGGGTCCTGGGGCCACCAGAGGGGCTTTGGCTTTGGGCCTGAGGCCTGAGATGCTGCTGGGGACCTGAGAGCACTGTGTGTTGGGACTCGTGCTCTAGAATGGCCCCGAGTGGATGGGGGAGACTGGGGGGGGGGGGGTTCCCTTCCCCTCCTCCCGGAAGCCTTTGCTGGTGACACCCCTCTCTGGAGACCTGTGGATCCACTGGGTGGACGCCTCTGCCCCACATTTGTCCTTCAGCAGGGGGTCACTGTGCTCCTGCTCGAGCCAGGTAGGGGCCAGGTGTGGGCCAGGTGTGAGCCAGGTGCTCGGGGCAAAGAGAAGTCCGAGTCTCAGCCGTTCTCCTCAAACTGCTCATGGCGAGTGAGAGAAAGCGGGGAGCAAAGAGGAGAGGAAAGGGGAGGGCCGAGTGCTACTTAAATGCAGCGTGAGCATCTGTGTCCTGGTTCCCACGACCACTGGCCGTGTAAGGCCATCGGGGAAGCTGCCCGGGGGGCACACGGGAACTCTACCATTTTCGCCACGTCGTGTGAGTCTTCAACTACTTCAGAATGAATAATCACTTCGAAAAGTGCACAAATAAGCAAACAAACAGACAGAACACACGCGTGCCAGGGGCCAGGCTGCACAAAGGCAACGGAGCCCGACGCCGTGTCTCACACGAGGCGCGGTGGCTTCACACCCTCACACCCTCACCCCGTTTCCTTCGCTAGCGCCGGCACCGAGGAGGAGCAAAGAAAGACCCCCCGTCAAGAAGATGATCATTTCCTTGAAGATCAACGATCCCCTGGTCACTAAAGTCGGTAACGTACGCCTACCCTCCTTTTCAGAGATGCCATCGGACGCATGGCCCGCCCAGATGCCAAAAACGAAAGACAAAACCCGGCAAACAAGTGGCCCACTGCTCAGTGCTTCCTTCCTACAAACAGCTCTGCCCTGTCAGCAGCGGAGGGGAGGGGCGGCTGGGCCAGCCTGGGAAAATGCTGCTAACGAGCGGCTCGTCCTCGTCCTCGGGAAAGGGACGTCAGGGATGCAGAGGGGGAGGGAAGTCACGAGCTTCTCAGATGGACCCGGGAAAATGTAACTGCCTTCCAGGGTCACTGGGCCCACCCTTGCCCCCCACAAGCACTTGACCTGCACTGGACCCACCCCTTCCTGCCCAGGCCCCTCACTGGCTGGCTTCCAGCAGCAGAGGCCTCTCTCAGGGGGCTCCCCTGGGCTCACCTTCTCCCTAGCCCATCCTGGCCACCTAGGAACATACTTCTGTGTTAATGGGACATACGTGTTGTCGCATACTGTTACGGTCTATAAATCAGTAAGTCAGGCAATGATCCCCTTAAGCCCTGGTGAGGCCAGTTGTCCTCGGAGCCCACTGGTCCCCACCACAGCTTGGGGTGAGGCAGAGCTGGGAGTAAGCCGAGTCCCTCTGCTCCCGACTCACAGGAGCTCAGACCCTAATGTCCCCAAGTCTCCTGGCTCCTCCCAGGAGTCCTTAACCTTTTTGAAGACTGCAGACTGCGAGGAAAATCTGCTGTAAGTTATATGTCATCTCCAGAGGAAAAAATCGTACCTACACGCACACAGCGTTCTGCACATTGGGCATCACCTCCCCGCACGGGCCAGGGCCCCGGGTGAAGGGAGGACCCCGGGCCACAGACTCCAAGGTCGGGCTCGCAGGAGCATTTTTTCAGCAGAAGCTCCGTTTTCTTTAGCTCCATCCCAATCTCTTCTGCAAGGCTGGGAGCCTGCGCGGTGTCTCCAATGGCATCTGTGGCCACCCAGCCAGCGGGCACTAGAGCATCCAGCAGGCGGGGCGCCTGCGAGTGAGGAGGGACACGGGGTGCAGAGCCCCATGCTGATGGCTCTGTCTCAGTGCTTGCCCCCCGCTCCCCGCCCCAGCCTTCGCCACAGCCCTGAAGAACCTGTACGTGAGCCAGGCGGAGGTGGATCTGGATGAGGTGCTGGGCGTGCTGGCTTCCGCTCACACTCTCCAGTTCAGCAGCCTGTTTCAAAGGTAAGGGGTCTCGGTGGGGTGCAGCCAGGGCCAGCCCTGGGAGAGATCGGAAGGGGGGTCTCCCTATCCATTTCATGGAATATTCCTCTTCTGTGGGCCAGGACATCCAGGGTCTTTGCACAGAGCTCGGCTTTGAGTCTTCAAAGGAATCACCATTTCACACTAACACGTCATCAGCTCACAGAGGAGCCTCTTTCCAGCAACACACTCACAGGAGTGAAATCCAAAGGCGGGGGATTCGGCGCCCATGTGCAAAGTGACTTCTCAGCACGCGGACCGTGCTTATCAATTTCACCAGTGTTTACCTTTGGCTACAAAAGTCTGTTCGTTTAGTTCACACGCACAAACACTGGCCATTTGAAGACAAGCTGACTTTTCCCATCACTGTCAGGGCTCAGTTTTCCCACTCATTTCCGATAGAGACTTGTTTTTTCTTGTAAACAATATCTTTGTTTTTGCACACGTGACACACGGTCATTGCAGATCTTATGAGAGAGAGAAAAGTGCAAAGAGCAGAGTCGAAACTGCCCATCTATCCGACAACCCGTTTTGGGACACAGCCCTTCCCCCGGGCCTTCGGATCCCGCTGGTCCACCTGGGGAGAAATGACAGAAGGCCCTGTTCCTCAGAGGACGCTCCTTCCGCCCGCCAGCCTCCTGGCATGGAATGCGGATCTCGGGGGCTGCCCGCTCCCTGAAAGCAGCCTGGGGGGTGGACCTCAGGAATAGCTCCTGTCCTGTCTCTGCAGGTGTGTGGCCATGATGATGAAGGGACTTGAGCCAAGCAACATCAACAGCTTCTACTTGACCGGCCGCAAGGTGAGGACAGCCAGGACAGGGCAGGTAGCACCTGGGGGGCATGCGACAGCACCCAGACTCTAGGAGTTCACACACCATGCCCAGCTCCAAAAAATAATCTGCCCAAAGGCACCAACATAAGAGCGAAGTGTTTTGTTCTGCCAAGTGAACGAGTTTGAAAAACCATTTTGAAAATGGTATTTTAATACTTCAAAAAGTAGAAAACTTTGATCTTGGAGTCCGAGGGTTGGGGGGAAGTGGGGGGACGGGGAGGAGGGCATGTCACAGCCTTTCTCCCCCAAATAGCAGACAACCTTCCAGGATATTCTTCTTGGAGTCGAGTGAAATTTGTCCTACCTGGGCCCAGTCAGCGTGTCGGTGCTGGGGATAAACGATGTACTCTAACTCAGAAACCCGAGATGCGAGGAAGGGAGGTACCCGGCCAGGGTGACATGGCAGCTGCGCGGCTGTGCTGGGCTTGACCCGCAGCCCTCCTGATTCAGCCTCCCTCCAGGAGGCCGCCATTGTCCTGACTGGACATGCACACCGGAGTGGACACGCTCGATTGAGACGTTAGTTCACACACAATCGGCACGTCACGATGCTCTTATAACTGGCTTCTAAGAATGTTCTAAATGCCTGTTTTGTCAAAGGCCACTCATTGTCCTCACCTTCACTCCACTGGTACTCAGAAAGTCACTCGGAGGGTGGCGTCTTTGCATTCCGCCAGCATTTCTCAGGCACTCTTTGGTCTGGAAAGGACCGTAGCCCTGAGGACACGCAAGGTGTGCTAAGGCCCTGTCAAGCTCGCTGGCCCTGAGAGACCTTTGCCACTTCCGCTGAAGTTTCATTTTAGGGTACGTGCCCCAGAACCCCACGTGGGGTTCGCCCTGCACGATGTCCGGTCATCAGTCACTGGCTGCAGTCTGGGGATTTCAGCGTGAGAGCCCTGTGGTCAGACCACTGGGGTTTGCACCTGGCTCTGCCACTTACTCATGTGACCACAGGTAAAAACAGGAATCTTGGAGCCTCAGTTTCTCCACTGAGAAAATAGAAATAATAATGAACCTACCTCACAGGGTTGCACTGAGGATTGATTTAAATCAAACTAGTGCAGGGCCTTGAGCAGGGCAAAATATTATCTGCTGCAGTTTACGTATTTTGAAGAAAAAAGGTTTGGGGAAGT